GCAGGGAGTCTGCTTCTCCCTCTGACCCTCCTCCCTCTCATTCTCTCTCTCTCAAATAAATAAATAAAATCTTTTAAAAAAATATAAAACCAAAAGCTTTTATGTAACATTAAAAACTGGATGCATTTTTATGAAAGATTTGCCTTTATTCTTGATATTCAAACCACATGCTCTCTCCACTTATTATCTCAACAAATGGGTATAGTGCAGCATGAAGGTTATACAATCTCTGCTTCTGAGTTCTCAAAGATATACAAAAGGTACTCAAGCTCTAAAGATGTACTGACCGGCTTTATGTGATAAAAACTAGAATTCCATCCTGAATTAGAAGAGGAACCAGTTCCTGCTCACAAGGCCCTATTTTCTTTTCATGTGGGGCACAGCAGTGTGTATTATGCACTTGCAAGTGAAAGAGGACAGAAACAGTACGCTGTTTATAAAACTACTAACCTGAAATTTCTTTTTATCATAGCAATACAGAAGAAAATCCATCAATATGAAGAAAGGCAGCAGCAACTGAAGGAAGAGATTGAGGTACTTCAGGTCTTAAACCAAACCATGTACTTTCTTCAAGAAGATAGAGACATGAGGTCAAGTTCTACTTCAGTATCTTCTGTGTCTTCTAAGGATTACCATTTCCTAAACCCAGAATGAGGCTCAGTTGCAAGCAGGCTGCAAACTGAAGACCTGACCTGTGGAAGCCACACATCTTTAGAAGTAGGCCTGTCCTGTCTCTCTGGACTTCAAGCTTCAATCCTCATCAACTCTTACCTGTTCTTGCTGATTGACATTTCATTTGATCCTGCCTCCCTCTTATTATCATCTCACTTCTGCTCTCCAATAAAATGTTTCTCAGATTCTACTTGAGTAAACTGGATCACACCTCCCATCTCTCCCACCCTCTGCACTGAAAATCCTCTGGTAGCTTCATGCTGGTGCATCCCCCCCTTCCCCCACTCCAGTGATCTACATTGATTCCAGTAACACACAGGGTGCTCCTGGAAGTAAAGGCTCCCCAGGGCCTTTGCACATCTTGCTGTGAAGCCTTACCTGCTCTTTTACCTTTCTCTGCCTGTTCCTCCTGCAGATCTCACTATACCAGTTCTACCACTCATTTCATCGGAGTACTTTTCCTTTCCATCACTTCCCAGTGTAACCCACTGTATCTTAGGGTACAAGCTCTCTGAGGGCAAAAATTCACTATTCCTGTGTTTTGCTCCCAACACATTCTCAGCACCTAGCATGCTCAATAAATGTTAAATAAATGCATAAACTGTTCTTATCCTTTGAGACTAGTTCCAGCTTATAATGAGATATAATAAATTTGAATATTTTTACTCCACTTGTACCAAATTCACTGGTCATCACGAAGTCTGCTTTTTCAATTTCTTTTCAGCCGCTGTCACTACATGGGCATACATCATCTTCAAAATAAACATTTAAATTGTAACAACTCTTTGAATAAGAACATCAGTGGAAATATGCAAGAATGAAAAACCAGGGGCGCCGGGGTGGCTCACTTGGTTAAATGACTGACTCCCGGGTTTCAGCTCAGGTCATGATCTCAGGGTTGTGAGATCGAGTCCCACGTCAGGCTCTGCTCTGAGCACAGAGTCTGCTTGTCCCTCTCCCTGCTCTCTAAAATAAATAAAATCTTAAGGAAAAAAAAAAGATTTTTCTCAAACTAATATACAATTTGGATTTTTATGCACCACCATGTGTGATCCCTGAAAACCTCACATGCACATTTCTGATTTTTTACCATACTCCTCTGAGATTTGCAATAATGCTGTATTTCAAAATGAGTTTCACCCAAGTCCCCAGCATGGTGTCTAGCATGTAATCGTACTCAAAAAATACCCATGGAAGGAATATGGTAGAGGTGAAAAAGAACATGCCCATTCCTGTTTTAATGGCAACCCTAGCTGAAATCATAATGACCTGCGGGACAAAATCTCAGTCTAGTGGTTTTCAAATTCAGCTGCGTATCAGAATTACCTGGGCATTTAAGAAACTACAGGATGGGGGCATCTGGGTGGCTCAGTCAATTGGGTAGCTGCCTTCGGCTCAGGTCATGATCTCAGGGTCCTGGGATCGAGGCCTGCATCGGGCTCCCTGCTCAGTGGAGAGCCTGCTTCTCCCTCTGCCTGCTGTTCGGCCTACTTGTGCTCTCTGTCAAATAAATAAAAACCTTAAAAAAATTTTTTAAAAATTAAAAAGCAACTACAGGATGGAGTCCAGGAAGATGGTGGGGTAGAAAAGATCCCAAACTCACCTCCTCCCCCGTGGCGAGGCAACAACTACACGTCCTGCAACTCACTCTGAAAGCCACCCGAAGACTGGCACAACGGGCCTTACACAGCTAGACCTGGAGCGGCAGCCACATGAGGAGGGGTACAGACACAGTTGGCAACTAAACCCCAGGGGTGACTCCCCACAAATGGTAGGGCCATCGCAGGCACAAACGAGTGAGGGTATCAGGCCCCACACTGGGGATCCACACTGTGAAGGCAGGTTCCTAAAACATCTGGCTTTAAAAATCAGCAGGGCTTCAATCTGGGAGCTTTAAACACCAGTGGGGCTGAACTCAGGGAGAGCTGGAGAGCTATAGGAAATGGAGTCGCCGTCCTCAAATAGCCAGCACGCTAAATAACGGCCCAAGACACAGCACAGCTGCAGGAGTCTGAAAAGCACCTGGCATATAGGTAAAGATTTACTGACTAACTTTAGGATATATGCCAGAGGGGCAGGGATCTGCAGACTTTTGTTCTCTGGGAACAAATGTGTTGGCCGGTGCTATTCTTCTTGCCCCCGCCCCCTGGAGAGCCAGATGCTGTCAGGAGCCAGTTCGGACACTCTCCATCTACCCTGTCAGCATCATGTGCCCTGCCCCTGCATTCCCCTGAAGAACCAGCCCATTCAACCCATGGGCCCACAGGCACCTACTCTGCCACACCCAGCGGAGTGTTCACTTACAAACTAGTAGGGAGGCTAAATTATATATACAAAAGTTAGTCAAGGGATACACAAAACAAAAACATGTAAAATATGACATATAAAACACGGAGGAGGGAATAAAAATTTAATGTGTTTTTACGTGTTTGAACTTAACCCATCAACTCAATATGGACTGCTATACACGTATGATGTCACATATGAACCCCAGGGTTACCACACACAAACCAAAAACCTATAATAAATACAGAAAAAGTAAAGAGACTGGAATCTGAGCATGACACTAAAGAAAGCCATCAAACCACAAGGGAAAAGAGCAAGAGAAGAAGAAAACAGAACTACAAAAACTAGAAAACATTAACAAATGGCAGTGAGTACATACATATCGATAATTACTTTAAATGTAAATGCACTAAATGCTCCAATCGAAAGACATAGAGTGACTGGATGGATTAAAAAATAGGACCCATCTATGTGCTGCCTACAGAAGACCCACTTCAGACCTAAAGACACAGAGGGTGAAGGGACAGGAAAATATACATGTTGCAAATGAAAGTGGAAAAAAAAAAAAAAAGCGAGGGTAGGTATACTCGTATCAGATAAAATAGACTTTAAAACAAAGACTGGGGCGCCTGGGTGGCTCAGTTGGTTAAGCGACTGCCTTCGGCTCAGGTCATGATCCTGGAGTCCCTGGATCAAGTCCCGCATCGGG